AATATAGTATAAAAAATAAAATGTGACATAAATTATAATACTAACTATATAAAAGGTGAAGTAAACATTTTTGTTTGTATAAGAGTGTGTAGAACTATACAACATTTCACAACCGGCTCGTTATTATTATATTTTATTATCATACACAAGACATGCTACTAACTTATATATCTATTATCACCAAACAAAGGTTTTGATGTTATTGTTCGTATAAGTTCGACTGTCGATCTCAATGAACAGGCTTGCTTCGATCTTGAAATAAATGTTAGACATATATAGGTACAAACCAGCCAATTGTGAAGGTTTGTATAATGTTAGATACGTCTATAAACCAATTGGTTCATTATTATTGTGAAGGATTGTGTGTACACGTGAATAATTTTTTGGTAAGTGAATAATCCAATTATTTTTTTTATAAATGTATTGATTGATTTATAGTTAACTAATTTTCAGTGGCATGTCCTTGTAATTTTTGAGGAAAATTAAGGGGTATTTCCTGTTTGTACTTCTATTTTAATAGATTAGATTTACTTTGATTCTCTTAACTCCAGAAATGTCTAGATTCTGGCATTTCAGAATAACAAGAATCCAAAGCGACTTTCAATGTTCGATCGTACAAAAATCCAAGTACTCCATTTAATAGTAAAACTAGCAGTAAAGGGAATAAATTACTGAACAATCCTTTCATAATATCTTTTAAAATATAAAACTAATATCATAACAACATACAAACGATATCCATACTAGGTTCAGGTTTAATTTGGTTGAAATTAATCTAAACAGGAATGAGGAACTGAAACCATACTTATTAAGTTACCCTTAATATTAATCAAGATTCCAGAGTCCAGTCTTATTATGACATCATAGATTATTATATTATATAATTTAAGGTTTTCTAGAAGAGTGGCAGCTTGAGTTAGTTCTTGTGGAATTTACGGCAAGCGGGGTAGCTCTTCGTTATAGAGTATATGACAATGGGACTCCTGACTTGGCGAGAACCATCCATCTCCGTCCAAGTGAGCCACGTGTTTTCTGTCATAAACGAGTTCTTGTAATTTATATTCGGCTTCGATTCTCCGGTGACGGTGACCGTGAAAGTCTTGGTATCTCCCAACTTGTCAAAATGTAGCCGTTTAGGCTCCACAGTGATCTCAGCATCAAAGTTTTTCTCATATTGGAACTTAATCTCTCCGAGGTAAGTGGAGTCTGGGGCACCAACGTTGGTGACCGTTCTATAGAAGACTTTGGTGAACTTGGTGTTGATTTCGACTTGGGCCGTCATGGTTGGATAGTTGAGGTCTGCGTTCAGGTCTGTCTTGGTCCCCGAGCAACTTATCTTGTCGCTTCCAACGTGTGATCTTAGCATTTGGGTCTTGTAGCCTTGTTTGCACATGTAATCTATGTAGTCCAGGTGTCTTGTCTCATAGATCAAACCGGGGTCTAAGACATTTGTAGCGTTTAATCTTCCTGACCCGCACTCAAATTCATTGCCCTCCATTTCCGTGGCTGCAAAGAGAATTTGCGATGTTAGAAGCTACCAAAACAATGGTGAAAAACAATGTTAAAGTTGAAAATCCATGATAATTCCAGTTTAATATATTCATAAAAAAAATCATTCTTATAAAAACCTTAGAATATATCTGCTCCGATTCGTAAAATTATGACTATCGAAAAAACACATATCACTTAATACGTTGACCGGACTTACAAGTGGTCATTAGAGCGGATTTAATAGCGGATGGAGACCAAGAAGGGTAGAATGACTTGATGTACAAGGCAAGTCCAGTGGCATGAGGGCAAGCCATGGAAGTTCCTGACAAAATATTGAACCTGAGATGGCGGTAATCACTTTCCTCTTTTGGCAGAAGATTCACATTCTCGGGCCAACCCGCTATGATGTCTAACCCTGGAGCAGCTATATCGGGCTGCAAACAAAGTTCCATATGAGAATCAAACCCAACCCAACTGATCCAAAAACTGATCTTATGGTGACCGAGTCGACGTGTTATGTATGTAAACTCACTTTGAGAATGTTTGCTAGGAATCTGTCGCAATTAGGACCCCTAGAAGACATGTCAGCAATGGTTGCTTCCTCTCCATCTTCTGCTGGAACTTCCACCGTCTTGTGGATTTTGACGGATATATTCCTGTAAAAGGAGACGTACAAACCCAGTGGTCTTAATTAATTGTTCATATATATTATGACCACGTACACTTTTTTTTAAAAACCGGGATCCAAAGCTAATTGGATTACGGTTCAATAATTTTTTCGACCAGATCGAACCCAATTCACAAATATTATAAACTAGGTGTTGCGCCCGCATATGCGGGCATAATTTCTTACAATTTTCTTTTTGTTTTTTAATTCTAGAATAATATTATAAGTTATTTTTATAATTTTAAAAAACCTTAATCAAACATTAAAATATTTGATATGAATTTTCATCAAAATTTATATGCTTATTATAGTGTTAAAAACATCCACATAATAAAATATCTTTGAAAATATATTTATATTTTTTAATATTTAATTTTAAATTGTTTTATCACTTACATTTTTATTTTTCATAATAAAATAGATTATTTCCAGATAACTGTATAATATTCTATAAGATATCTTATGTTTTAAATATGCATGAATGTGGATAATTATCCTGTTAATTTATAATAAATTAACTAATATAGTAACATATAAATTTCTATCACTAACGTAATATTCGTTTTTAAATAATTTATATATAAATTTCATTAAAGGTATCATTAATTTGAACTGTGCCAATTTTTAATATCTCATATTTAATTATATAATTAAACATATTTTTATACAAATATTTTTGTTTGATTAAATTAAAATCGATTTTTATATTTTAATTTTAAATTTTATAATAGAATGATATTAATTTCAAAAGCCAAAATCAATTATATATAAAATTAAGATATATAAGCATTATCATGTTGTTACAATATTATATTCAGATAACATATATAAGAATTATCTTATTTTTGATTTTTTTATAAATTTATTATATTAATTATTCTCAGTTATCTAAGATAATAACATACTAATCTAATTTTATTTTTTAAATTTCATTTGTAATTATAAAATTAGTTATATATAAAAAATTCATTAAGGGTAAAATAGATATTAACCACTCTAACTTTTAACGTGAGAGCTCCGTTGCGAAAAATCACTAAGCAAATAATAGTATAGATTTTAATTTTGATATATAAATTCAAAAGTAATAATATTAAATGTGATATATAACGAGATTATGATTATATATATAATAAAAATGTTGGAAATATTAGATTTTAGAAATAACATATAATTTGACATATTTTTGTTAAAATAAAATATACCAAATCCCTTATATATTAAAACAGAAGCATTGTAATAAATGCGTTCATACCATAACTGACACGTGTCAGCCTTACAATCATTTGACAATTAATGTCTTTACAAACTAATTTTTAAAATTTATTAGTTAATGTGTTTATACATTATTTTTTTAATTAATTCATTTTTCCTACATTTTTACCCATTGTATTAATAAATTAAAATTTTCTACGTACAACTAATTAATAATATCTTTATTGTAAAAAAATTACAAAATCATTAAGATTCGCATCAACTAAAATGTTGCGATGAAAATCTCTGTAAAAATTGAAAGTTTCGTACCTTGCTGAAATTAGTCATGGTTGAGGTTTCAGTACACAATAACAACAATTAAGGTGATCGATTATTAATTAAAAAAAGAGAGGTGAAAAACACCACACGTAAAGTCGGATCCTTAGTTTAGTCAAATATTAACATTTTTATAAAGTTTTATATAATTAGAAACAAAATCAAATTGGTAGAAAAAATCAGAAATCAGAATAGGTTTACAAAAGAAATAAAAATCACAAAATCGATTAAAAACAGAATTCAGGTACCAAGTGAAGATGTCACTTTGTAATTTATATTATTTTTATTTTTTACGAGTACAATTTGATTTTATTCTTATGAAAAAAGTTATTAATTTTTAGGTTTGTTTTATTTTTTACTTAATTTTATTTAAGAATTTACTATCATGTGTTATTTTGAACAAAAATGTTTTAAATCTTAATTAACGATATATTCATATATTTATCATCAAATTTATATACTTTACATATACATACATGCACACATTGACATGAGCAACTATATAACTAAATATTCACCACAAATGAGATTTTTAATTCTTATTGAAGTTGAATCTTTTTTTAATGTTTTCTTTCACTATCGCTCAAATTTTAGTGAAATGTTTTCTGTTAATAATTTTATTTTCTTTTTTTCTTCAAATATTATTTAGATTTTATTTGATTTTACATGTCTTTAGAAATTATAAAAGGAAACTATTAGTTCGACATAAAAAAATATCTAAAATTTATATAAAACGAAACCAAACAAATAAAAAAAAAAATTTTGTTATCATCGAAAAAATCAAAAACATCAAACATTTAAACCAAACAAACTAAAATAAATATAGATTTAGAACGATAGTTATATTTCAGGAGATTAAAAAACAACCTAAAACTATATCAATATCTATGCTAAACAGACATAATATTATTTTTATCTTAAAAGAAACAAAATAATAAACTCATTCTGCGAAAAGTCACGGATTATTACCTAGTAAGTATTAAAGTAAGAAAAATATTTACATTAATGAACATTATATTTCATTATATTTTTTGGCTATTAAAATAAAAACTTATGATGTTATTGCTTTGGAAAAATTCCATAAAATTTTGTAATCAAAGTAACTAAACTGTCTATAATCTTAAAATTTGTAGTAAAAATTTTTGGACAATTCTCTCAAATAGACATTTTTAAGTTTTTATCATAAAAGTTGATCTAAAAAATGATCAAAATCACATTTTTTATTTTGAAAATTTTAAACTTTAAAAAAAAAAAAATATCATATCTCCAAAATCCAACTCCTCAACTCTAAACAAAAAAAATTAGGATTAGTTAACCCAAAGGGTATAATTGTATATTTACTTATTTTTGATAAAACATTTAAGTATATTTTGGTCATTTTTATTTTTAAGGTTTATATTTGTGACAAAAAGGTTTTTAGTTTGTTTTTTATATTTACACATTTATTAATTTTTATTTTAAAATAAAATTTTGATTTTTTTACAAAAGAATCTCTAATTTATTTAAATTCTTTCCTAAACCTTAGATAAATTAAAAATATTAATCTTTTATTTATATTTTGGAGATTTTTAAAATTTTGTTTGGAAATTATTAGTATTTTTAATTAGACAAGATAAATTTTGAGTATTAAAATAGACACAATTTTAAAAGTGTTTAAATGAACAAAATAATTAGTTGGGATAGTAAACTGGGTAACGAAAAAAAATGGCTATTTAAAAAAAAAAAATTTTAGAATTTATGTATACATGAAAACTAAAAAGGAAAAAATTTCAAAGGGAAAAATGTAATTATGTTAAATTCTTTTATCTGATTTATAAATTTTGGTTAGTTTTACTGGTTTTTAGGCAGTTATAATAATTTTAAGATCCAACCCCGCTACATATCCGTTTTATGGTCAAACTCGGTCCAACCATCAGGTTAGTTCGGTTTTGTAAACACTTGATCTCGCATAAAGAATGGTTTTTTTTTTTTTTTTTTTTTGATAAAGGATAAAGAATGTTTTCTTTACCTTTCATTTTCTGAAAAGTCTTTCCGTAGCATACTTCCTCGTATTTTGTCCAGAACTATAGATGCTATAGGAAACTGTAACTTTCGCATCCCAACTCTTTCGCTAAAATTATCCCATATGATTGCACCTTGCGGTCTCTCTTTAAACACTTTGTCCAAGATTGTGCTTTGTGAATAGTTGAAGAAAACGTTTTTTCTTTTGCCGTTTCTATGATTCGACAAGATTGGTGCATCGTTACTCCTAACATTGTGAAACATACATTTTCACTTAGCAAATAGTATGAATATGATGTTAGTGGTAATTCAGAGTTTGTCAAAATATTTTCAAAGTTTAAATTAGAGCTTGTGGAAATGCACCCTAACTTACTCAGCAACAAGTTCACGTTTTCTTGTTGATTCATGGGGTGCTGTTTCGTCCAGAAGTGGGTAGAAAGAATCTTGTGTCTCGAAGGTGTTTATCGTGTCGTATACCTATTTTCATTACAAGAAATATGTGACAAAGAAAGGTGTAATTAAAATGTGAGTTAAATTAATTTCCAAGGCAATAAACCTATGCAGAGGTACTTGTGAGTCAAAAATCTTTCACTTACAAATATTGATTTATCTCCTTCCAGCTCTAACTTTGTCTTGAAAAGTCTATCTTTCAAGCTTGCCGCAACGGTCATGACCCAAGGTGCGCCGTTGATGATTGTGTAGGGCTCCATGCCAGAGTTCCCGGCCACGGTTGAAGTCAAAATTCCTTTTTCAAGTGCTCTTAAGAACGCCCACGAGACCAAATCTTTGTGTATGGGGATTGGCTTTTGCCCCCCTTGAGAATAGGATATGATGTCGACCTTGTCCTTGATTGCATCCTCTATTGCCTCCAAGACTTTATGTTCCGGACAAGATAAATCCTCTTTATTTATTATTTTCCAACATGTTTTATAAACTGAGATCTTTGCGTTGGGAACACCGCCTCTCATGGTGCCTTCGGCTAGCCCAAAGTAGCTCGCCTTCTCGATTTCCTTGCCGGCAACAATGGATGCTACGTGCGTGCCGTGGCCATCCACGTCAATGACTGACTTCTCTTCAGCTACATTGTAATGTTCTTTTTCCAAGTAGTATGATCGAGCCCCAACAATCTTGCTGCATTGGTAGTTTTCACAAGTAAAGATCACTTCTCACACATTCAAGAAGCCTAACCATATAAGAAATTCTGTTTTCTACAAACTAAAACTTATATAAGAGTGTGAATGATAAGAGTTAGCGAGCATCTCCAACCCTCGTTTATATTTTTCTATATTTTCTTTTCAAGTAGTTAAACCCTACTATAAAAATGAGTTTTACTCCATGTTTCAGTGTTTCGAAAAAAAAACTACGTACAATATATATTTCTAAAAGAGAGTTCTTTTATTTTTAAGAAGATGAAAAGAATAGTATTTTTTTATATTTTCTATTATAAAAGGATGAAAGAATCATCTTTATAATAGAGAATTTCTACTTTAGAGGAATATGGAATTGAATTGGGGATGGTTTTAAATTCCAAATCAAATTAATCAGATCTTTGGGTATGTGGGACTAGACCACTGGTCTAGAAAACGTTTTTCTAAAGTTTATTGAACTTCCACTTGAAAATCATGTAGCAGTGGGCACTGGATAGATTGATACATATTACTTATGTATTAATTTATAATCGATCATGCTTCCATTATGAAGTTTTCTTATTAGATACGAAATGAATATATAAAGTAGGAGTTTTTTTTTAGAGATACGGTTTAATAATGCATGAATAGGTCATACTTGCTGCAAAAAAAATTTGACCAAAAAAACTTGCAACAAGTATGACTAAAAAATCTTGCATGAATAGGTCGTACGTACGTACTTGTTGCAAGTTATGTTTTCGCATTTGTCTTGCCAAGCCAGAGGAGGAGGACTGTCGCTACTGAAGAGCTCAGAGTATGGCCAAATGCCAGAGTCAATGACAGCTACCACCAAATCACTCTCAGCCTGGGGATTTCGCTTAGCTGCTAATGTTAGATTCATAAAGTCCCATGACCTTGTCGTGTGAGGCTTTAAGTTTCTGCTATGAGACACTTCTAATACCTCTCTTCTCCCTGCATCCAACGTTAACCTAATCCATGTTATTCCCATGTTCCTCATGCAGTATTAATCAATAAGTATAACACTATACATGTCACTAATGTTTGCGTTTATATGTTATAGTAATCATTTGTAGATTTTTAAATAGAAACGAAAATACAAACGTAAAGAAACAAGTATATATTTCCCCTTACTCTTTAACTTTTGCCGTTCATTTTGCGTGAGGCTTGCCGAGAAACCCGTGAAGCTCTCGCTGTAGCTGTATATAAGTGCATTTGCTACGGTGCTGCATGTGATTTAACATACAAACTTGTTAATTAATTCATTGGAAAAAATTTCCATATAGATAATCCTCATAAAAAATAACCACTCTTTAAAGAATATATAAAGCATAATTAATAAAAAAACCTATCGTCGTCAAGAACTTCCCCAAGTAGTTCCTTGTGACCGGAACTGGACCCATATCGATGCTCTCCAACTTTCATCTGCACAAGGTATATCTGTGCATACAAAGCAAGATGTTATATGTTAAAAGGGATTCGAACAATAAACTCTTAACCTAAAATACATGAAATTAGTAAGGCGTGTATGTCAACACATGAGAATATAATCAAGATTGACCAAAGAAAATGAAGCATAGCCTCCTCAACAACGGATTAGTGTCTCTGAGAATGTAAATTGAACGAGACTTGGTAATCTTAACAAAAAAATTATTTGTTAGACAAAGTGTTTTTTTTTTCTCTGTGTGGAATATATAGAGATAAGAATCTATTTCGTCTCACCTTTCGCGGGTTGTTCGCCTCTGCAAGAGAAGAAGCAAGGAAGAAGAGTATGAGTTGAAGAAAGAAGGTGTGCAAAGCTATTGCCATCACTCACTTACTAAAACACTTTTTTCAATCTTTTTTTTTTATTTTAGGTTTATAATATGACGCTCGTATAGTTTATAAGTTTTGTTGTTGTCCACGTTAATTCTTGAGGCCCCTATTTATAGAAAAGCTCATGGAGGAGGCTGGGAGCGAAAAGGACTGAAGAAGAAGAAAATTGAAAGAGAAGATATAAATGTTTTCGTCGTGCAAAAGCTTATCAATCAATTTAAAAGAATCTTATTCTCCGATTACGACAACGTTTTCATCTTCTTTTTGGTGATTCTTGAGAAAGTCCAAGGTCGTGACATAAGGGTACTAATTCGAGTGACCAATCAAGAAAAGGTGAGGCACATATGAACGCTTGGTTTGATTAATTAAACTTTTAACGTCCAATTTGGTCAGATCAGAACAGTTGGCTTAGACCCATACAATCATGCTTTGATTGCTTGTTTGTGTTTGCATGAGTGAATATGTTCCCAAATGTGTCTACACATTTCTAGTGATTAGTTAAGTTTTTAATGGTCGTTTACTTTCGTATATTCATCTGTTTTCCGCTTACCTTCTGCATCACTTGTGACATAGAACTAAAAACATAACCATATATTATATTAAGCAGATCGTTATAAACTTCACCAACCAAACAATATCATGAAATGGTTTAGTCTAGGAGAATACGCCAATTATTATGATGAAGATATGTGGATACTATGATACGTTACATAACTTCCAGTGAAGAAATGGTCTAAGAATATGAATATATATTTGATATGATAATTGACATTATATGTTGTCTAGGAAATGGGATACATGTGGTTTTGGTTCTCGTTCCAACAAAAAAAAAGGCTAGCTTTTACAAGCTTATCGCTTCGTGTTTATTTCTCGTCCACTACAAAGAACAACAACAACATAATCAATTTCATTCACTCTAATAATACTAATATTCTATTCCATTTCTGGTGTCCATTTCAAAAAATAGTGAGACTTAATTCTTTTGTATGCGTTACCTCCTCTCACTTTCACATGATCCTACAAAAAACGAGTGGACATTTCTTGGTTAATCTCAATTAGCCAGTGTTTTTAAAACCGACTGACCCGGTGGTTGGACCATGTTCGACCATGAACCATCACATATCGGGGTTGGGTCTAATAACTGGTTCGACCATGAACCGATCAAGTAGTCGGACCAAATGTCAAAAGTTAATAAAAACCATAAATAGTATCATAAATCTATAAACCAACCATATGAACAAAAAATAGTTAATATTTATATTTGATATTTATTTATACTTTAATTGTACCATATTTACTAGTTTTATTTTTGAATTTCTATATTTAAAGAATTTTAAACAAGATTATTGGACGAGGTTTGATCCAGAACCGTGATCCTAATAATTTTGGGTTCGCCTTTCAGTCAGATTTTTAGAACATTGCAATTAGCTCACATTAGTATATTTTTCACATGACCAAAAGTGAGACTTATTCTTTTGTAATTTAGATGCTCATTTGACGTTGATTAATTGAAGAGCTCCATATACTTTATGCTCTTCCACTTTCATATGCCACTTAAGAGACAAAAAAGCTCATCTTACTAAACTTTTTTTTTATAATCACCATTTCATTTGGGTGTCCTAAAATCCAAGAGACGATCACACGCATGTACACACACACCAACTACTGTATGTGCTTTCAACAGGTAGATGAACATCATGTAAACCCCTTAAAAAAAAGATAAGAACAAAAAATGCAGAAAATGAAGTGGGAAGAAAGAGATTATAGAAGACTAAGGCACACACTTTAAAGCCAAGTCTCCAACGGTTTGAACCAGTTTTTCTAAGCAAGACCAAACTCATCTGCAGAAAAAAAAAAAAAAAACATTTAACAGAGAATCATTGAGTTGCAAAGAAGATGAACACATTAGTGCATAAGAATCCATTCATTCACTTGTTTGCTTTTACTAAGGATACACTATCGACTAACCTTTAATGAAAGGATTCAAATCTTTGTGGACATCATGAATTTGGACTTCTTATCCGCAGGCTTCAAAATCTGAAACGAGCACATCAGGTTCTCATCCACGCTCATCATAGCACCAGCATTATCAAATTCTCCACAGTAGTTAGGAGCTGAAAACACCGTCACTAACTGTCTATCAGCAAAGAACTCATAACCATCTTCCACAACCTGTCATAACAAAAGACATTATACTTCCCTGTAAACATCACAAAAGGAGTAGAATCAAATCAAAACACTCACCTGATGAGCACGACACACAAGGTCCAGATCATGTTTAGCCAAAAACTCAGAGACTTGATCCGGACCAAAAGTGTACGAAACGCCTCTATCATTCATCCCCCATCCGTTAACATCTTTCCCAGGATCAGACCAGAGCAAATCACAGAGGAGCCCAGTGTCAGGAATCATAGTTGGACGCGGCAAGCTTCTAATCTCATCCAAATGATTGAGATCCGGGGAAAGACCACCGTGCATACACAAGATCTTGTCATCTATAAGCGCAGCAACAGGAAGGCAGTTGAAACAGTCTGTAAACACCTTCCATACCCTCACGTTGAACCTCCTTTTACACTCATCATAAAACCCATATATCCGGTTGATAGAAGCACACTCGTGGTTTCCCCTTAGTAGAAAAAAGTTCCCTGGGTATTTGATCTTGTAAGCTAGTAAGAGACATATCGTCTCAAGACTCTGTTTGCCTCGGTCCACGTAGTCCCCAAGAAAGAGATAGTTTGCACTAGGAGGGAAGCCACCGTACTCAAACAGCCTCAGCAAATCACTATACTGCCCATGTATGTCACCTAGTTTAAGACATTTTTTCACCAAAAAAGATCATAAGGGAGATCATAGAATGTGAAAACAGTTACAAACAGTTCCCAAGTTTATAGCATTGCAACAACAAAGAGACGCTTGCTGAAACCTCCATGCTCTCTCACATCTATTCAAAACGAACCAAACTCACAAGAAAACAACATATCCACTGATCACATCACAGGACTAAGTCTCATACTAATATGTGAACGATTCATTAACAACCTTTCAACATAAGTACAAATGCTTAGACACTCTCTAATCAAAGAAACTCCACAAAAAGGTAAAACCTTTCTCAACAAGATCCTAACCTCTTCACAATATCAATCAAAAGATTCAAAACATACCAAAGATTTCTTCACAACAACGTAATCCCCGAAAACACCCAATAAGAGATATACACAAAGCTTCACACTTTCCAACACTATAAACCCTAAAATCACCAGAAACCAATTGGGTAATCAACGAATCGAAAAAAAATACCACAGATTTTGATGGGTGCTTCGAGCTCAAGCAAATTAGGTTGCTGGAGAAAGATGTCTCTAGCGGTAGTGCAGATCTGTTTGATCTCAGCCTCCGAGAGCTGGACTTGCTTCCCTGGTCTAGCTAACCGAACCTCCGTGAGACGTCGGATTATGTCATCGAGAACCGCCGAATCAATCGCCGTCTGTTGCCCTTGCGTCGTCGCCATTAACGGAACAGCAACAACGAAGGAGGGGAATGGGATAATCGAACGGTGTCGTGTCGTTTAACATAAGAGTTCTCGAAATGGCGTCAGCTTAGTAGGTAATGGGCTGATGTATACCACGTTATTGGACTGTTTAACGGCCCATTTTAAATTAGGCTGAATAAATGATCTCCGGCCGTTCTTATATAACATCCAAAGTGAAACATTGGCGTTTAATTCCTAAAGTTTTAAAAGAAATTTATATAAATATAAATCTCTATACAAAAACAAATTTATTAATTCTTATTAAATTTTCTATAGCTATCAAAGTTTCAGGATTTCGTTAGTGTCGTAGTGTAGGTGTGCCAAAACCATTTTGGATATTCAACAATATTTCATATCTTTAAACTTTATGTTCTATATTTATACAGTGAAACTTCTATAAATTAATAATATAGGATTATACAAAACTTTTATTTTTTATTAACTTAGAGAGATTAATTTATCGATATGCTAACTGAACCAAAAACTCAATTTAGAATTATAAAATTATATTATTTTATAGAGATATTTAGTGTATATTAATTTAGGGGTTTTTGCTAAAACTAACCCACAACTTGGTTTTAACCCCAATACTAGACCCCAACTTGAATCAAATGCAAATCTAACCTAAAAGGGCTATGAAATTACAATATAGTCCTCTGTGACCAAACAAAAAAACAGAAGACATTTTTACGAATATAACCCCAGTAAGTTGTCTGAGTCGGGCTGAGTTACTTTTCAGTCGTCTAGACGACTGAAATGTTAGTCGTCTGGACGATTGAATCTTAAAAATAATTTAAAAATTCTGTAAAAAATATTTTCATGAGTGAAAAATTAAAAACATGTAATTATAAACATTTATAAGTGATATAAATTAAGAAATGATAAAATTGATTTGTTTTCAGCATAGATGAGTGGAAGTAGTGAATCATGATATTCTTTGGTTTAAGGGTTTGGCAAATATATGTTGTAGTATTGTATGTAATCTTAGGGTTAGAT